GCAGGACAGGCAACTGTACCGCAGGCATGAGAGGCACCACTTATGTTTTTGACAGCCTAAGTTTAGATGCTTGATCCTTGGTGTTGCTGGCCAGGGAAGCCCGATCTTGAGTGAATTTGCTAGAGTGCTAGCCCCGGGGGCCCTGTGCGCTGCGTTTCTTGCAGCATGAAAGCACAGGCGAGTGCACATGCTTTCTGTGTGTGTGTGGGGGAAGCGAGCAAGTTGTGCGACACCCTCATGAGTTTGCAGCGCGGAAACACGGTTTCGCACGACATGAAAAGCCTGCACGGGAGGTGGCGATTCGCGTCCTGGACCAGGCCTGCCTCCTGCCATCAGCCACGCAGAGTTTGCCTGCAGGAGTTCTTGCAGTAGCATCTCTACAGCACAAGCTATCACAAGGCAGCAGGATAGCTGCTAGAGCCTGCACTGCCAGAACTGTTGCAAGTAGCCAACTGTTCCTTGAGATCTGGTCTTATCTCCTCCACATCGGTTCTCTTGATTCCCAAGCTCCATTTCCTAATCTAGTGGGGTCGTGTTGTGCGAGTCTCTACGGGTAGTTTCATGGGCCCTGAATATGGTCCCTTACCTCCTTTAAAGGGTTCTGAAGTATGGGCCCTTGGGTTGTGTAGGAAGGTTATATATATATATATATATACATATGGGGTCCTCTTTTAAGGGCCCATACTGCATGTAACCATTCTAAGAGATTCGGAACTTTCAGAGGTCCAGACGTTTGGCTGTTTTGCTTCGTACAAGGGGGACCGAGGGCCCACTTTGAGAGGGCCTTCCCTTTGCTTTGTCTAGTACAGTAAGGTTCGCAGGGCACAGGGCCAAAGCCAAAGGCAACCCTGAAGAGGAACCCCCCAAAGCGGAGAATTCTGCTTGGGACAAAATGGGGGGGGGGGGGGTTTGGGCAGTTGGGGTCGTACAGTGCATGGCTTTTAAGGCTCCTCCTTCGAGCTCTGTCCTGGCGCCCGTAAGCAGTTCTTACGAAAAAGATCACAGAAGACGGCAGAATACTGCGACTATGTACGGGATTTTTTCCAATGACTGCTAAATGTGAGTAAAACCATTTTCCATTTGCAATATAGGGGGTCGGAATAATTACTCATAGTATTCCCTTATGGTCCCGTTATACTTCTACTATGATAAACCCCCCCAAAACCCAATTCTAAGCATTAAGGCCCCCACATTAGTGCCTCTGCTGCGAGCAGGCTGGTGGCATCCCTTTCAGCGTGGCAGACAGGGCTCCTCGGGCTCGGAAGGGCTTCGGGTTTCGGGTTTCGGGTTTAGGGTCATTTTTTGTTTTGGGGTCTGGGAAGCACCCTTCTAGCACCCTTGTGTAGTAGAAGCCCGAAGGATTATCTCTGGTTTGGGTTAAGGGGTTACCTTGCAACCCTGAGGTCATAAACCTATAAATCCGAAGGCCCTAAACCTCCCATAAGGCTGAGCTGAGACGCTGCCGGGGATAGAGCCCAGTGACAGGCAAACCTAAAAAATCTTGTGTCCCTATTAATGACTGTTAGTAAAAGGGGGAACATCCCAACTAAAATCGATGTATCTTCTTAACCTCACCCATTTCTTGGAAGGGGGGGTATGACCCTTCCTGTCGGCAGCTATGAAAGCCCAGCACCTCTTCCCGCAACCCATGAAGGTTCGAAGGTTTGGCAGGCTATGGCAGGCTTGAGGGTGTCCCAACCCATACTGCGTTTAGGGGTTGGGGTGGGGTTTCGGGTTTAGGGTTTAGGGTTTAGGGTTTTAGGGTTTTAGGGTTTTAGGGTTTTAGGGTTTTAGGGTTTAAGGGTTTTAGGGTTTTGGGGTTTGAGGGTTTTCGGGTTTTAGGGTTTGAGGGTTTTAGGGTTTGGTAGGAATTTCGTGGTCCACGACAATCGTCGCAGATTTCAAAACTTTCGGGTGGCGGAAGAAGGCTGTGACGCCTCCAGGTCTGGTGTCTTTTCCAAGGGCACTCAGCTTCGTGTCATTTCATGCAGACATGGGGCCTGAATCGAACACGGGGAGGCACCAAAATGATAAGTACAAACACAAGTCCCATAAGTTAGGATCAATTCCCCTCCACCCCCTTCGTCCAAGCCTTAACCCAGCCCTCCGTCCCGAGAGAAAGTCGGCTCTCGATGGCTGAGGTGTGGTCGTACATGTACTCCACGGCCAACAAGGAGCCTCTTTGGGGGGTGATCGGAAGCTTCTGAAAAATGTGGCGAAACCATGCAGGGCTTTAGTTTCCGAAATCGGGGGGTAGGGGGGGGGGGGCGGGGAGTTCCTATTTTCAAGGGTAAGATCGTTTTTTGGTGGCATCTTACGGTGCCCCGCCTCCTGAACAAACCCGTTCCGTGGACGCCGCCGCTGGGCAATATCGCAGCGGGCAGGATCGCAGCCCTTTCTCCCACGCATCTTGGGTCCGAAGTCCTTCGATCCCATGCACTTGTACGCCTTGTACCCCCAAAATCCACTCTATATTGCCTTCCATGTCGTATGCATGTACTGAAACCCTGCAAATCCAGCCTGTATTGCCTGGTTGGTGCTCAATCCTCGTTTCTGGAGCGTGTTCAAACTTCAAACATCCATTTAACAGTTGCACTGTCCGGCAGCATTGAACCTGCCCCCCTCGCGCCATTTTGGGTACTGCCCAAAACCTAAGCCCGCCCCCTATGCTGCCCTGATCTCCCAATCTCCAGTGCCTTGCCCGGAGGCTTTCGCAGCGCACTAGGGATGCAAGGGCACGTCATGCAACCCTCAACCACATGTGCCCTAAGCTTTCCTAGAACCCGAGAGGCCCTCCTGAGACTAATACCAAACAGGAGGTTTCCTGGCGAAAGCCCAGAGAAGTAGAGTGGTCTTGCTCATTCGAGTATACAGGAAATAGAGCTTGTCCGATTGAGCAAGCAGGAACTATAGTATCTAGAGGTTTTTCCGCTTCCACAAAAAAAAGACCAAAAACAAACAAGAAGACCAAAAGTAAAGACCCTAAACCTGAAACCCTAAACCCGACATCCCACAAAAACCCTAAACCCTCACTCCCCCCAAAAAACTCACCACCCTTGTTTGTCAGCGAGTGGAGTAGCGACTGAGGCTCGGCGAAGCATGACAAACCCTAAGCCCTAGACCCCTAAAACCCTAAACCCCTAACTCCCCTAAAGCCCTCAACCCCTAAACCCCAAACCCATCGAACCCAAAAAACCCTAACAACCCTGAACCCTAAGTCCTAAACCCTTAATCCAAACTAAACCCCTAAAACCCCAAAAACCCTTAAAAACCCTAAAAAACCCTAAACCCCAAGCCCCAAGCCCCAAACCCTAAACCCTAAAAACCTCAAACCCTAAACCCCTAAGCCCCTGCTACTCAACTCCGGAGGAGGGCCGCAACTTCAATGAGCAGGGCACCCCTTTGGCCGGCTGCTGGGCTCGGGCTGGGGGTTTTAGGATTTCGGGGGTTTCAGGGATTAGGGGGTTGGGGTTTAGGGTTTGGGGTTTAGGGTTTGGGGTTTAGGGTGTAGGTGGGGTTTAGGGTTTGGGGTTTGGGGAGGATTTCGGGGTCAACGGCTTGGGTTTCGGCAGGTGCGGATTACAGCCAACACTTTTGCGGACTTTTTTGTGACGACGCTTCATTGGGCGTGCCGTGGTCATTTGCTTTTTTTATCTGCTGGGGACTGGGGGGTAGGGGGTACTTGAGATGATAGGGTTCTTAAATAACCCAAGGTTCCCGAGTTCCCCCCACTACTCCCTAAGGCTCCCTAAGCTTCCCTAAGCTTCCCCTTAGCCCTAGATACCTACCCGCCACGAACCTCCCTCCTCTAGGGAGCCGACAACACCCTAAACCCTAAACCCTAAACCCTAAACCCTAAACCCTAAACCCTAAACCCTAAACCCTAAACCCTAAACCGATAACGAAAGTACGAGGATACGGCGTGGGCTTGCCCCTCAGCCGGCTCTACGCGCGATACCTTGGAGGGTCTCTGCACCTGCACCTTGGAGAATGGGCCGGCCGGGTGGTGAAGTACCCTAAACCCTCAACCCTCAACCCTAAACCCTAAACCTTAAAACCTTAAACCCTATACTCTATATCCTAAACCCTAAGCCCTAGCGTTTCTGAGGGGGTGGGAGCCCAGCAGCATCTGGAACCTAGAGGTTTTCTGCGCTGAGGGAATTGATGCTGCTTCCTGGTGCAGATTTCTTGCTGTGTACTCTTTACAAAAGAGATGTAATATAGCATATTTTGGTTCTAAGTGGAACAAGCTGAGAAATGGATAATGAAAAATTATCAACATTATTAGATGAGAATACTTCGTTGCAGAAGGAGTGTAAGGGTGAACGGCGATGAACGGCTTACAGATTTTTGCAAGACAGAAGCCGCTGAGTGTTCATGCTAAAGGTCTGACAGAGGTTTGTTTTGTGGGGGCATTTCGAGTTTGAGGTTCCCTGTAGGTTGAAGAGTCTTGGTCGCTGGTCCTTGCTCTTCACTTTGCTTCGGAGCTCGTGGTATTTGTGAAGTGTGGCGATGCTCAGGCAATCGCTGCCTGGCGTGGGCACTTGTGCCTACCTGCCTCTTATCTGAACCTTTGCTGCTCGAGTTCACACCGCTGCAGGCCGCTAGATAGTCTCCTGGGGCTTCAGGGTGGAGTGCTGTGCGAGTGTCGGTAGTCTTGGCCTCTGTTGTGACGGGAGAGAAGAAGTGGCCCGGGGTGTGCATTGGCCAAGGTTTGCTTCATAGGTCAGTGTTGGAGTCTGCCGCTGTTGTAAGCTTCTGTCGGCTTCGGACTTCTCAGGAGGGGGTGACGAAAACAGCCAACTCTGCCACTGCATGCGTGAGAGGCGCATGGACACGGAAAGAGCGCAAGACACAGCTCAACCGACGAGGCGGCGTCGGAAGCGCTTCTTCGGTCTCACCCCGACTCCACCACGAAAACATTCGCCCCTCGGGACGACTCCTCGGGGGGTCATGCATGCAGGAAGGAAGGAAGGAAGGCGATATTCATGTGTAGAAAGATGGCACATAGGCACAGCATCTACACATACCGATTGCCACGGTTTGAACCGCGCCTTCATGTTTTAAGCACACTACTCAAACATCTCCGCAGCCTCTCAGGCCCTCCAAGGGTGCTAGCTGGTAAAGCAAACCCCCCCCCCTGCCCCCTTCCCCCCGTACACCGCTGCTCCGGTACTATGGAAGCAACCCGTATGCCCCAAGCCCAGAACATCTGGGGCTTGATTCGGAGCTTTTGCAGGGTTTTCCTATGGGGGATTCAGGAGATCCTCAACTCCCCCCGAATTTTTCAGCCGGAAGCCATAAGCTCCAAGCCCCTCTCGACCCAAGGTACCTCAAGCGCATCGAGAGCGAGGCCCGTGAGGAGCTCCCGAACTCCACCTCCGTTGGCAGCATCAATCTCATCTGAGGGATGGGTTTAGGGATCCGGGATTAGGGCTTCGGGTTTAGGGCATTTATGCATGACATATATGTAACATAACATAACAAATCTAGTATACTATATATACATATATATATATAGATATGCAAGAAACGGTCAGGGTCCTTGTTGCGCTGAAACATAGGCTCGGCGCTGGGTTCTTCAAGACCCTAAACCCTAAACCCTAAAAGGTCAATGACTTGGTGCGGCCTCCGGTCGGCACGACCAGGATCAGTTTCACCTTCCTTGCCGAAGGCAGAGCAAGTCAGCCATCCAAGCTGCAGGGATTCTACAGTTCAGGGCTTTCTGGTTGGTGGCAGGGTTTAGGGTTTAGGGTTTAGGGTTTAGGATTTAGGGTTTAGGGTTTAGGGTTTAGGTTGAGGAATCTTCTCTTGCCATAGGTGAGGAGCTGCGCCTTGACGAGTCCAGCTCAACAGTCGTTGCACATCCTATGGCGACGAAGGTATACGGTGAAGGAAGCAATGGGTTTGGGTTTAGGGTTTATGGTTAGCTTTGCTTCATTTCCCCCCGGTGCTCTTGACCTGTAATGTAGGGGTCGGAAGAAGTACGCATTGTATTCCCTTCTGGTCCCTATCTCATGGTCCCTATATAATTATACCATGATAACCCTAAACCCTAAACCCTACACCCTAAACCCTACACCCCCCAAACCCCTATTCTACCTATGAAGGCCCCTATATGAAACCCTCGCGTGCAGCGCGAAGGCCTTCTTTTCCAAAGTTTGCGGCGGTGCCCGTGTGCAGCATCCCAGGGTGTTTCTTTTGAGTGTTCGGCTGGAGGGGTTTAGGGTTTAGGGTTTAGGGCTTGCCGGCATACATCCAAAGCCCGTGCTCAAAAAGGGTTTAGGGTTTCGGGTCACGGGAGGAGATGCCGGTGCTATAAAATATCACCCGCAAGATGCAGCAAGTCGACTTGCCATGCGGCGTATGCTCGGCAAATACTGGAGAGCCTCTCACAGCAGGTTCGAGTGCCAGGTCCCTCAAACCCTCCGTGAGTCGACACTCTGCACCTGAGGACACAGGCTCTCAACTGCCGATGAAAGCATCTGGGTGTGCGAGGTCTCCAGGTTGTTTCAAGAAGTGCCGGCCACTCCAGCCCGCCAGCGTCGACAGGAGGGAAAAAAGGATCGCCATGCAGAGCCGATTCGGAGGGCCTTCTGCCGGATGAGATCCCCGTCTAGGTAGCCCCCCTCCCCACATCTGTGGTATGGTTGTGGGTTGTTTTGGGGCTCATCGTTTAGGGGCTGAGGGTTTCCCCCCTCCCCTCCCCCCCCCCCCTCCCCCGCCCCTCCCCCCATCTCGTCTGGTTGTGGCTTGGTTTTAGGGTTTGGGTCTGGGGCCTTGGGTTTTGGGGGCTTAGGGTTCTTGGGGTTTAGGATGTTTTGGCGTGAAGCGTTGGACATTTTCTGGCAACACCCAAAAGAGCCCGGCTGCAAAAGCAAGGGTGTCATGGCCTATTTAGGATTTTCGGGTCATGGTCCAAGTACGCCCCCCTCCCCGTAGTGGGGTTGTGGGCTAGTTTTCGCCTAAACCCTAAACCCTAAACCCGAGGTTAGGTCCTGGCGTGAGGGCACTCACACGTCGTTCATTGGATTCCTTCTGATGAATACAACCGCATGGGATTCTTCTTGGGAGCCCCAGCAGTAAACAGTTGGGAGGCCCAGTTCTGGTCGCCCCGCGAGGGCACGCCGGCGCCCAGCCCGAAAAGCCTGCGCCCCAGAGTTTCGGGTTTAGGGTTTGGGGTTTGGGGTTTAAGGTTTAGGGTTTAGGGTCCAGGGCCCAGGGTTTAGGATGTCGAGAAGTTTTGTGGGGGCACAGGGATGAAATGTCCTCTGTGTCGCTGCACGAGTCAGTGCTATTCCGGCACCTCAGAGAGTCCGTCAAAAGGGTCTAGGGATTAGGATGATTTTGGTTTAGGGTTTAGGGTTTAGGGTTTAGGGTCTAGGGTCTAGGGTTTAGGGTCCAGGGTCTAGGGGGCTAGGGTTTAGGGTTTAGAGGTGTTCGTTCCCTTCTTCTTAGCCAGGCGAGCTGCTTTTCAAGCAGCTCGCCTGGGTTTTCAAAAGAAGGGATGCTCTGAGTCTGTTCAAAAAGGTTGAGGGTCTATGGCCACTGGAGCTCAGTTCCTGCTTCAAAAGGGTTTGAGTCAAGCTTCGGTGTAATTGCCAGTTCTGATCCCCGAATGATACAAGCAGAAATCCCCTGAGCGTACAAATCTCGCTCGTGTCATCTTCGAGGTATCAGACATTGGTCCGTTCTACTTAGCGAGGCTTTCCACGCCCATCCAGGGGGGAAATTTGCAAAGAGGGTTTGGTGCCTGAGGCTCCGGTATCTACCATTTTAATGTCCACTGTTACAGCAGAGACTTCGCAGCTTTGGCCCGACTTGCAGGCGTGCGCCCTATGACAAGCAATAAGGTTGCCAAATGCCACCTGCACCCCAAAGCCCAAAAAAATTAAACCCTACAATTCGCTAAACCCTCTAAACCCTATCAACCCTATAAACCCCATAAACCCCATAAACCCCATAAACCCTATAAACCCCATAAACCCTCTAAACCCTATAAACCCCATAAACCCTATAAACCCTATAAACCCCATAAACCCCATAAACCCCATAAACCCCATTAAACCCTATAAACCCTCTAAACCCTTTAAACCCCGTAAACCCTATAAACCCCATAAACCCTATAAACCCCATAAACCCTATAAACCCTATAAACCCTATAAACCCTATAAAACCCTCTAAACCCTCTAAACCCTATAAACCCTCTAAACCCTCTAAACCCTATAAACCCCATAAACCCTATAAACCCCATAAACCCCATAAACCCTATAAACCCTATAAACCCCATAAACCCCATTAAACCCTATAAACCCCCAACTACAACCCTGGTGCGGCCATGGGAGGGTCGCATTCTGCTTAAGGGTTTAGGGCCTCGAAACCCCGAGGCAGCGCCTCGTCGCAGTCCCCGGCATCACACAGGCCTCTTGTGGGCTTTCGGTTTAGGGTTTAGGGTTTAGGGTTTAGGGTTTAGGGCAGTTTGCTGGCAGCCAACAGGTCCGGTGTGAGAAGGGCTTAGGGTCCAGCTTCCAGGTCGACAAGGGTTTAGGATGCAGGGGAGTAGTCTGCTTCGAGCTGCAGACTCAGAAATTTGAATGCTGAAAGCTGTAGGATGAGCTCAGACTGGACCAAACCGGGACCCACATCTAGATCGTATGGGGACTTGACAGCTTCAGGGTTGTTTTGAAGGCCACACATGCGAGGCCTTCCGAGATGCTTTTGTTGCCTTGCAGATGTCCGACAGCTGTTCGGAAGTTCGATCGACTTTTCTTACACTGGATTCCAGAAACCGAAACTCGAGATCCTATATTTCTATGTGGCGAGTTTGATCCTTTACAGTTCTTACCTTTGGAAGCTGCTTACTATTTCAACTTTTTGTGCTACCGGCCCAATGCCCACCCCTCATACCCACGAGCTCGATGCCGCTCTTTACGTGGCAGGCCCGGCAGGCCGGAAGAGCGAGCTGCAGGCAGACCGGTAGATGCGGACCTGCAAACGGAGGACAGGTGTTGTTTAGGTTTTGGGGGGTTGAGCTCGTGGTTGAATAAGAGGTCTCCAATCGGGATAGGCAGAAAGCCCAGCGAGTACTTGAACCAGCTAGCTGACGCTGCGCATGACGCCTGATCCACCTGCCCCTGTATCGATTTGCATGTACAGGATGCAGAACGATGCGATGGCCGTTATGCTGACTCAGCGGAAGAAGCTGAGACTGAGGCTACTTTGGGATTAGGTGGTTCTCGTGACGAGGCTTGTTACGGCTCATTGGTTTCGGCTTGTCTTGAACTGCAGGGCCAGAAGCGCAAAAGACAGAGTTCGTTGAAGATGTTTCGATGCAGAGAGCCCTTTGAGCCTGCATAGAGAGAGAGATAGAGAGAGAGAGAGAGAGATAAACCCAAAAACTCATGCGTTGAAGTCGTGGCTGAAAGGCCAAGCTCGCAGAGCACCCCGAAGCACCCAAGCACCGGCACGCACCGAAGACCAGTTTTTGCAGGTGTTTCTTGCTTGATCAGAGCTCCAGGGAGGTAGCTTTCATATTTGCAGGCTTAGGCGCTGGAAGCCTGCGAGGGTCATGGCTTGGTGGCCGGAGGAGCAGGATGGCTCGACTCCGTCCTATGTCGCTTCGGTGGTCGTCTCAGTCCTGGCGCTGCTCTTCTTCATCCTGGGCCAGGCCTTCACCACGCGCGTGAGCATCGATATCTTGGAGCACTGCAACCCTGAGGGCCTCAAGGAGTCTGCCAAGAACGTGTGGACCAATGTCGGCGTGACCTCGGCGCTCGTTTTGACCATGGTGATGGCCATGCTGCAGATTGACGACATCGAGCCACGCGGCTTCGCCTTGGATGCAGGGGACAAGTTCCAGCTGCAGCAGTTCTACGGGGCCCTCTGCATCGCCTCCTTGTTGTTCAACCTGCTGGCGATCATGAGTTGTGTGGTGCACCTCAGCTACGTGGACCCCCTTTCGGATGTCGATGCCATCAAGTTCTTTCTGATGAGGATCGACTCCATTGGAGATCCCATCGTCTACATGGTGGAGTCCTGCATCTTCTTCATGGGTGCTGTGTCCGTTTGGGTTCTGGGCACGTTTGGCTTGGCCATGGCCATCATGAACCTGGTAGCCTTGCTCATCTTTGTGATCGGGAATGGTTTGCTGTGGGCCAAAATCAGCCTGTTCACTCCGCACAAGGACATGAAGTGGACCCAGGACACCAGTATGTGGGCCACCGAAGATATCACCCTCGGCCTGAAGAAAAGAAGCAAGAATCCAGAGGTTGTGGCCTTCGTGAAGAAGTTCGGAGCGGTCGTCTTGCAAGAAGGGAAGGACGACGCGGTGGTTGAGGCGCAGACCTGATTGCTGCATGCAGCTGATGATCCGCGTTTTTCTGGTCATCGTGTTGGGAGTCGCCCGGTTTCCCGCACTCATGCGAAGGCCCTCTGAGGATCAGCGACTTAGCGGTTTGCAGCCATTTACATGGCGAAGTCCCAGCAGCTTGGTTGGTCTCACCCTAAATAGGGGAGTGCTCTCCGACATCCCTCTCCGAAAGCATCCCACGGACTTCAACCCTAAGCCCTGTACAGCCTGCATTCCTTATATTGTTATATATTATGTACATCATCATATGAACACCAAACCATAGGTCGAAGGAGCCTCCCAGCTGAATTCTAAGCGAGCCTGTGGCTGATAAGCGGGCCACAGAGCCGCTTGTGCTCGCTTTCGCAAGGGGAAGGGTAAGCAGATTTCCAGCCCTAAACCCAAAACCCAAAACCCTAAACCCTAAACACGTTTCGGAAACCCTTCTGACCCAAAGCCCCCCTCATGCCCAAACCCTAGCGGTCCATCCCTGGCTTGTCGCCTTGAGCTCCCAGAGCTGTTTGAAGATCGTTTTGGATTCGCAACTGCGCTTCAAAAACAGCCCTACTTGGAGGTTCATGGGTTCCTGTAAGTAGGCAAAAAGTATAAAATCTATAGTCACAACCCCACTACGTAAGACTACCCATGAACCTCCAAGTAAGCCTTAAGCCCGAAGCAGAAGTTCGTTGTTCCACTCGCTGTAGGCATGGGTGCGTTGAAGTACAACCTTGCATCTGAGAAGCTCAGCCGTGGATTCAGATGGCACGAATTCGCGATGCTCGGAAGTACTTGAAGCGCCTGGGTGGAAACTTCGCCCACTGCTTCCGGTAGCAAGGACAACAAACGAAAAGAGAGAGAAGGAGCGTGCGTGTGCGAATGCGATGCCCGGTATTCCACAGGGTCGAAAGAAACGGCTTCCAATCACCAGCCGTGATGTTGTAGTGTGCTAAGTAAGGGAGTATGATGAGATCCACCCTCAGGGATGACCCACGTCGAAGAACAGCGTAGTCAAGTAGACACACCGTGTGCCTGCAGTGCACCAGGCGGGGGGATTTTTGAGGCTGTGCGCACTTAGTGTAGGGGCCTTAATGATTAGAATCGGGTTTTGGGGGGGGTTATTATCGTATAGTTTTCGGACCTATATAGCTACTGGGGCTGGTGACTTAAAGAAGAGGTCGCTCGCACAGGTACACGCTTGTGTGGTAGCTCGAACGAGAAAGAACTGTATGTAGACGCGCCGTGTGCCGACCGCACAACGCAAGATGGCCTTGGGGGTTGTGTGCGGGGACCTGTAGTTTGGGGTTTAGGGTTTAGGGTTTAAGTTTAGGTGTTATGGCTGTTGCAGTGTTTTGCTTGGTTCCTGTTTCAGGGAGAGAAGAAATAAACAGTCATTTCGCACAGCGCGCAAAGCGATGCTCCAAAGAGGTGGGGGCGACAGATGCTGAATCGAAGGTGGGGGCTTAACTTCCGAAGCAACCGATGGGAGATTGATGCATGTACACCACCAGATGTTGTTTTCCGTCTGCCGCGCCCGGGGGGGCTGTTCTAGCTGTGGTTGGGGGGAAAGGGGGGTAGGGTGATCTGATCATTGGGGTAGGGTATCGGAAACCGCCGTGGCAAGCCTCAGATTCAAATCCCTGGAAACGAAACGCCGCGGCGAGCAACTTGCGCCGTTGAAAGGAAGGAAGAAAGACAGACAGACAGAGAGAGAGAGAGAGGAGAGAGAGAGAGAGAGAGAGAGAGAGAGAAAGAGAAAGAGCGAGAGAGCGTGAGCAAGCGAGAGTGAGAGAGTTTTGGGCTGGAGATTCACATGCCGGAGTCCTGCAAAGAGAAGCTTCATCCCAGATTCATCCCGCGAGTTGGACTTCTCTGAACCTTTCGCCCATAAGAGATTTCTTTGGCCGGTGCTAGGAAGAGGATCCGCCGCCGACGACTGCCCCGTTCCAGGCTCCTCTTGGGGAGTAGGGTTTAGGGTTTAGTGTTTAGGGTTAGGAATCGCGCTCTGCTCATGGATTTACTGGGCTTTCTTGCGCTTAAGGGGGAATGGTTCAGTTACTGCGATCCCCACTTGTTGGGCCCCTGTTATGAGGCAGTCCCTTGCATGCAGGGTGCTGAATGAAGGGCATCTCTTTGTGAGCTTACCCCTAAACCCGAGGCCCTAAATCCTACACCCTAAACCCTAAACCAACCCTAAACCTCAGATCATGCAGCGGAAACGTTAAACTAAACCCTAAAACCTAAACCCCGAGGACCAACAGGCCCGCGCGCCCCAGCAACGAGGGCGGGAGGAGAGGGCTCCGGCGAAGGCTCACCAGTGGAGCAAGGGCTTAAGGTTTCGGGTTTGCGGTTTGGGGGCTAAGGTTTGGGGTTCAGGGTGTGAGGTTTGGGGTTCAGGGTTTCGGGTTTGGGGCTTAGGGTGGAGCAACAGTATGCAACAGTCTAAGCTGCTCCGCTCAAGAACCCCCCCCCCCCCCAAAAAAAAAGGAGCAAAAACACGAGATTCTTCCTTATGAGGGTGGGAGATTCGTTTCCTCGAGTCAAAGAATGAGGGTAGAACTTGGCTGATGGGGTTTAGGGTTTGAGGTTTGGGGGAATTTGGGAGTTCGGGATGTAAGGGACCTAATTGCCTCACTTCCCTCTTCAGAACAGAAGAACTGAACTCTAACCCCCGAAACCCACGGCCTTTGTCGGCTCGGAGACCCTAATGCCACTTCCATGGTGGTTTTGTTGGGTCTTGGCCATCCTAAACCCTAGCGTTTAGGGTTTAGGGGTTTAGGGGTTAGGGGTTTAGGGGTTTAGGGTTTAGGGTTTAGGGTTTAGGGTTTAGGGTTGAAGGTTTAGGAGGCCTCAATCCTCAACCCGAAGTGCGTGCATCAGCAGGCCCCTTTGCTGGAGAGCCACCGCGGCTTCAGCACAAGTCGCCGCCCAGAGGTGAGTTTGGGATCTGGTGTTTGGCTCCATGGGGCTCCCTTGACTGGGATCTCTGTCTACTCTAGTCTATTGAGTTTTAGGGTTTAGGGTTTAGGGTTTACGGCTTCGGGTTCATACGAGTATGGAGCAATCTCAATGTAGCTTGTGCCAAACAATTGCCTTCCAAGTTCACAATCTCACAGCCAGAGTCCCATGTCCAGTTGCCCGACCCTAACTCTGCTGGCAGCTTGTTAGGGTTTAGGGTTTAGGGTTTAGGGTTTAGGGTTTAGGGTTTAGGGTTTCGCACACTGCGTTTTCAGGCCCATAGAACACCCGAACGGCCACTGCACATACGAAGGTCAGCAGCATGCTGTCTGATTGACATATGCGAGGTTTTGTGTACCCACTGCGTTCAGATGCTTAGGGGCTTTCTTTTTTTATGGCTCGCTGCTGGGCTGGCGTGCCAGGTCTGAGGGAGAAAGGTACGCTTTCCTAGATATGTTGAGATTATTGTGGCGGGTGGGGGGTGGAGGGGTTTCGGGTGGGGCGTGCGGGGTGGGGGTTAATATGCTCGGGTGGATAACCCCTTAGCTTCCAACCCCGAATCTGAAGGAAACAATGTCGACCCCCACCGAGAACCCCTCAGCCCCCTCAAAAAAAAGTAGTCAGGGTTTAGGGTTTAGGGTTTAGGATTTAGGGTTTAGGGGCTGAGCCCTAAACCCCCGAAAAGGCCTCCGGGTTCGACGGCCGACGTGGCCGGAGCACTAGCCAGCGTGGTCGAAGTGTGAGCCACAGTGAGGCAAGGCAGACAGCTTCCTCAGTTGTACAGGGTTTAGGGTTTAGGGTTTTAGGGTTTTAGGGTTGAGGGTCCCAGCTGCAAAAAAGGGTTGAGGGTTGTAATCCCCTCCCCCTAAAACGAAACCCCTGCCCCTAAGATTAAATACTCCCAGTATACTGGTGAATATTCGGGGGTAGGGGGGGGTAATATTAGGGGGATTAGATTTCAAGCCCTAATTAAATGCTTGGGTTGTTTCGGGTTTGGGTTGTAGCCATTCTCGCGGAAGTTGAGGCTGGTGATGCGTGTTTATTTGTGTTTGCTTTTCGCTTCTCTTCAGGAAGCTGTAGGGCAGCTCCCACTACGTGGCGACCCAGCTCTCTGAATTGTTCTGAGTTTGTTCAAAAGCGTGCACACAAGCTCTATGTTGGAGCGAAAATCCGAAATCCTCGCATTTCAACAGCATCCTGGACCCCTCCGCTGCAACCTGAACCCCAAAACCCCCCAAACCCCCTGCGCAAGGATGACACGCACAAATCGAGAAGTGTACCAAGTCGAAACCTTAAGGCCCCCACACCCTAAAGCCTAAACCCTAAACCCTAAACCCTAAACGGGTCTGCTAGGCGGGTGGCAAAAAACCCTACACCCTGGAGGATTCAGACTGTGCGGCCCGCCCAGCACCGCGGACGACCCGCCGTGAGGCGTGTCGACCCATGAGGTTAAGGGTTTAGGATTTAGGGACCTGTTTCAAAAAGGGTTTAGGGGTTTTGGAGGGGTTAGGGGTTTGGGGGTTTAGGGGTTTAGGGGTTAGGGTTAGGGTTTGGGGCTTTCAGGGTTGAGGGGTCCAGGGTATAGGTTTGAGGGTTCTGGGGCTCACAGGTTTCATCGAGGCGGGCGAAGTCTCTTGGAAAGGGTTTAGGGTTTAGGGAAGCCAGCCCCAAGCCCCAAACAAGAAATCACCATTCCGTCGGAAGAAAAAAGCTCCCAGACATGTATGTGTTTTGGTTGTGTGTGTGTGTGGGGGCGGGGGGGTCTGAGGTGCAGAGATGTGTAGAGACTCTGGGTTGTCACAACCTAAAGGTGCGGCCCGAATCCGCACCACCTGCGCCACGCAGTTGGGCACGGCCGAGCCCCAGGGCCTGGGCCTCAAACCATGCAACTGGGGTTTATGGAGGGTTTAAAGTTTAGGCTCCATAGCCGTCGTAACTGGAGGGTCGCCACAGAGTGGCCACAGGAGCGGCAAGGGCTCTCACGCCAGGCAACGCAATTGGGTGTCTGCAGGTCCAGAATCCTTGGAGCCCTGTCGAGTCCTCCAGGCTGCGCCAGTCACGACGCGTTCAGGCCTCCCTGGCCGCAGGTGCGGCGTTGTGACAGCTGCAGATGTTGCTCGTTGCCGCACATTTCAGCGGGATTTATTTGGGGTAATTATTATAATTATTATAATTCTTATAATGATTATAATTAGTATAATTATTATAATTAGTATAATTAGTTTAATTTTTGTAATTATTATAATTATTATAATTATTATAATTATAATAATTAGTATAATTAGTATAATTATTATACTTATTATACGTATTTTAATCATTATAATTACTATAATAATTATAATTATAATTATTATAATTATTATAATTTAATTATTATATTATAATATTATAATTATTTATAATTATTATCTTATAATTATATAATTATTAATTATTATAATTATTATAATTATTTATTATAGTAATTATAATGATTAAATATATAATAAGTATAATAATATACTAATTATACTAATTTTTATAATTATAATAATATAATAATTATAATAATTATATAATTATAATAATAATTATAATAATTATAATAATTAATATTATAATAATTACTAATATTATAATATAATAATTATAATTAATTAATAATTAATTAATAATTATTATAATTATTATTGCTATATAATATTATTATGCTATACTTATAATTATATTAATAATATTAGATTTATAATTATACTTATTATATTATTATATATTCTATATTATATTGTATTATTATTATAATTATATATTATTATTATTTATAATATTATAATTATAATAAATTATTATTATTATATTATTAAATTATTATAATTAGTATAATTATAATAATTATAATAATTATAATTATTATAATTCTTATAATTCTTATAATTCTTATAATTCTTATAATTCTTATAATTCTTATAATTCTTATAATTCTTATAATTCTTATAATTAGTATAATTCTTAGAATTCTTATAATTCTTATAATTATTATAATTATTATCGGTTGGTATTGCGACGCTGGCAGTGAGACCCCCGGTGGCTAGCTGCTGCAGGACCTCGGCTCTGGGGGTGGCATCGCGATTTCGCCCCGGGATGGGCCGACTGTCATCGAGGCGCAAATTTTTTGGATGTTCGGGGTTTAGGGCTTAGGGTTTCGGGCGCAGCCCTCAGTCCTGGCATGAAGCAGCTTCCAGGTTCAAAAAGGGTTTCGGGTTTAGGGTTTAGGGCCAGCTCGTAAGCTCTCAGCTTTTTCCTGCTCAAATGCCTGTCTGTTCTCCCTGTGTTGGTAGCACCAGTCTGTCTTGAAGGCGCAACTTGATGAATTAACCTGATGGGCCGCATGAAAACACAAGTATGCACCTATTGGTTGGCTTGAACAGCATTACGTAGCGTGCGTATTGTACGTTTTCAAGAATTTACATAGCATCTTTCGGTTGACATATTTCTATGCATATACATGCACATACTAAACTGGACCTGTTTTTACCCTGCGTTGACTCGGGAGAAATCGAGATAAGCTGCGGCCAGGACGGACAACGACAATTGCCGACAGATGTGAGGTGATGCGAATGTTGTTTGGAGGGCGTGAGTTCGCATTTCCATCCTGGGATGGGCAGAACGACGTGATCGTTCGAGAATTCGTAGCACAGCTTGCGCAGGCTCCCAGCTACTTAATGAGCTCGGAGCTTGCCATTTCAGATGCTGTCAGCTTGAGGTATGAGAGGGCAAGCGCAGACACTCCTAGGATGCAGCCTGGGATGTTATTATCTACCTGTGGCCAAGCCATGCTCTCATGGACTTTCATGCGTTGACGTTCGGAGCCGCCATGATACCTGCGATTATGTTTTCGAAGGGTCTTACTCGTACCTTTCTGCAAAATGGTCTTTCGGGCGTGACACAGCGTAGCATCTCGTGAAGCACACCGCAGTGCAATGACCTGCTGCATGTACCCTAGAGGGACATCCTGTCCGACAAAGCTAGGCGGCTAAGCAGGGCCTTCTCCAATTCAGCCCTCGATTGCTTGCAAGTTTGCTTCCCATGCATGTGTCGTGCTGGCTGTGCCAGAGTCTGTAACTGGCAGAAGATGATGCTTGCGATTCAAGCTTTGCGCTGGTGATGGGGCGGGCAAGACGCGCAATCATGATCGCCATGCTGATGCGTCCAACTCCCCGAAAGTCTCCAAGATCAATCTGATCAAGCCCTCTAACTTCCAATTCGGCAAAGTGTTCTTGGAGCGGCTTGCCTGTTTCAGTCCAATTTGACCAAGACCAGCCTGTTGCCGCTGAGGGGCTTGGCTTTCAGTGTTATGTCAGCATGGGTTCCCCAAACCCCAAACACGAAACCCTTAAACCCCTGAACTCTAAACCCTAACCTCCAGATATGCAGCTTCCAGAAGAAAGGGATGTAGCTGCTTGAGCCCTGAGGGGGTCCATGGTACGGCCATATCTCTCCAATGATGTTCCTAAACCCTAAACCCTTCTTCGGTAGCAGCAGTGCAGGTGGCCAAAAAACCGCGAAACCCTAAATTAATGCCCTAAACTCTGCACTCTCGAGTCCCAAAAAGCAACTTTCCGGCGGGCCGACAGAATCTGGTAAGCATTTGGTAGAAACATGTTGAGACCCATGGTCGACCCCGAAAACCTGAAGCTAAAGTGGCGAGAGCCCATATGCCACATGCAATAGCATACGATATACAAGTAGTAAACGCCAGGTACATGCTACCCTATACATGTTATGGAACAATCTTCAAAACACCCTAAACCCTAAACCCTAAACCCTAAACCCTAAACCCCAAACCCTAAACCCTAAACCCTCGTTTTCTATGGTGCACTTTAATGCTGCCGCACCGATTTCGCCCCCAATGCCGAGCCCCCCCTGGCGAAGAGCGGAGCTGCTGTCGGAGATAGCCTGGTGCATAGGGTTTGGGGTTCAGGGTTTAGGGCTTAGGGGTAGTAGGGCTCAGGGTTTTTGCCAGAATGGTGTGGGATTCCAAGGGCTTAGAGGAACTCGGGGATAGTCGTTCAGGGCTTTCAGGGCTAAGGCAAACGAATACAGGAGATGAACGATGGATCAGCCCTTAAGCTCTTTTCTCGCGGGTCCAATCCCTAAAGCAGTGGGATGTTGTGTTAGCAGGGGCAACCAAACAAGGAATCCAGACTTTCCAAAACATGGCACTTCCCTCCCGAACACAAGTCTCAAGAGGCAGAGGATATATCATTACATTGTTACATTCTTGCGTTAGTACTTGAATACATAATTGTTTTATGAAATTGTTATTGCATCATATGAGGCCGTGCTTCGTACTCCTGCGGGTGGCCTGTAAGGCTTCCTTTGTTACGTCGGCCTGGCAGTGCCAGAGGCAGCAGCTCCTATGCATGTGGCGTTGTGTGCCCGTGAGAATCGTGGACGGAGTGCTGCTGCGCAGCAGAAAGAAAGGCGCGGAACTATTCTTGATAATTTCTTCAGTCAGTTGCATGATTCTGTCGGCCGCATATCGGGCGCAAGAGAGAGAGAGAGAGAGGTTCCCAGGAGACCCAAGGGCGAGAGTGCGAGAGTGCGAGCGAGAGACAGGTCAGAAGAACATCATGAAGAAAGAGAGAAACTCGGAGGTGCGAGGGGAGGAAGCAGCAGAAATTGGCAAGTACTCGGCCGTTGCCCACAAAATGCTTTGCACCTCTGGTCCTGCCCCTGACCCTTGGCCCCCTGTGGCCCTGCTGGCCTGGCCCTGGCCCTGGGCTCTGGCCTGGCCCTTGTTGGGGGGGAGGGAGGTCAGACTGGAGTCTAGACAGGCTGGTGCGTGTGGCGTCGGCACAGGGGTGAAATCAGAGTACATCAGTTGTATTGCTATATTGCTGTAGTACGATCTTGTATTTTGTTTTTTTTTGAAATTCTGGTTGTTATATTGCTATATTGTTATATTGTTATTTTCTTTGTTACCTTGTTATATTGTTCTTTTGTTATGTTGTTATTTTGTTTTATGATTCTATTGCCCCTCGGACTGCCCGAATCAAAGCTCGCGACGAGATCGACTGGGTGATCCGCGCAGAGGGCTGACTCCCGCCCCGCATGCCCAGTTTAGGGTTTAGGGTTTAGGGTTTAGGGTTTAGGGTTTAGGGTTTAGCAGGAGAGCGACAGGCGAAAGTGAGAGAGTGAGTGCGCTTTGCTCTCGCCACATTCCCAGAAGAAGCGTTGTGCACGTTTCAGCTGCAAGCTGTTCTTGTGGTTGAGATTCTTGTGGTTGAGAATAATTAAACTTTCTTGCTCAGTTGGTTGCACGCATTGCATCGCGGCACAGCGTTCCAGGACAAGCAGGAGCAAGAATTCAAGATCAGCGCGGCCGCCTTAGACATTGCAAGCTTTCCATCTGGCAAGTTGCTGGTGGGGTTCAGAACCCTAAACCCCTGAACCCTAAAGGCCCTAAACCCTAAACCCTGAACCCTAAAGGCTAAGGGGGCTTAGTGGTGAATCCGTGGCAGGATGTGGACAGCCCGTGAACCCGAAACCTCTGTCTTAAACCCTAAGCCCTGGCTGTGCAGGAGGGATAAAACCCTTGAAACCCTGAAACCGAAAATCTGAACCACCCAAAGCCCCCAGAGCTGGAACCCACAAAGCCCAACATCGTTCCAGTCAGAATTCGGAGCGCCCATTCGGGCATCTCGGCGCTCAAGCCTTTTCTGCAAATAGCCTTTACATTTTACCCACCCTAAACCCTAAACTCTAAACCCACCACCCTAAACCCGAAACCCTAAACCCTCGAGTTTTTTGCTCCCAGCGTCGCGGCCCCTACAACGCGAGGGCTTCATCTACATCCGCGACTCATGTCCACCCCAGCCCTCGGCCGCCAACACGCGAGCCAAGATCTCGCCGAAAATCGCCATGGGACTTGGCATCACAGCGCCGCCCTCAGGGGTGCTGAGGCATTGAACGGCGCATCTCAACACTGAATCCTGTAGCTGATCTGAACCTTCCACGGCTACAAGTTCCATCGTATCCATCGCTAGCGAGCCTTTGTGGGCTAGGGCAATTCTACCCCCCAAACCCTAAAAGCCCTAAACCTTTCGTGGTGGTAGTACACAGTCACTGACAATCCCACTGATCAAGCTTTAGTTTGTTATTCTCATGCTGCTCGGCATCTCCAAGATGTACATATATTAGGATTGTTAGCGTTTTCTACATATCCAATACCACTTGATAGTATTCTGAAAGATATTATAAATGTTGTTTTAACTGTCTGCATGCCTGAGTTTTTCAGCAGAAAACGAAGGACATGGTAGCAGACCGTATCGGGAGGTATGGAGTGCAGCAGAAGGGAGACGTTGGATATTTCTTGTTCAGAGACAAGAGTTGCATCCGGCGTCCAATTCCTGCGGCCATCTAGGATTTCGGGAAGGAGGTGTGTTCCTTCCGTGTATGGGCTCCACATGGAGAAGATGTAGCCATCAAGTTGCAAGATTCGGAAGGTGGCGATGTACAGGAGGTGCGGTTGACGCGAGAAGGTGACTTTGGTTTGGGGAGGCTCCCTGCAAACCCGGAGATCGCTACAGGATCACCAAAGCATCCAAAGATGCTCCATGATGCTCGTGTTGGCTTCATGCTTCCTACTTCGACTCGGTGAGAATCATGCTGGGTTCCGCACGCGTGCTGAGCCGGATTTTTGTTGACAGTGTCACAGATGAACAATGGAAGAATGCGGAAGCATCGGGTTCAGTTGATCGCAATAAACCAAAAAAGGGGAGAGGGGATGCTTGTACTCTTCGCTACAGGCGGGCCTTATGCTGCTCCTGTATGTGCTCTACCTCCTGGAGCCTGACGCCCAGTCAAGGGTTCAGGGCTCGATAATGTAGGAAAGGCGGTCAGCAAGTCCAGTTTCCGAAGTACAGTGGAGGTTCATGGGTAGTGATAAGCATGGTTTTCAGTAGACTTAACACCCCATTTAGGGTACGTATAACTCATAACCCTACGGCTACCCATGAACCTCCAACAAATCTAGGACAGGGTTTTATGCTGTGGGGACCATCCTGTCTGGTCCTGCGTCTCCTCTTAAGTGGGTTTAGGATTTTAGGGTTTAGGGTTTAGGGGTTAAAGGGTTGAGGGGTTCAGGCTTTGAGCAAAGAAGTGTTGAGGGCCCAAAGTTCAAGGTGTCGGGTGTCTGAGCTCTCGACTCGATATCCAACTCTAAACCCGACACTTGGGATGTTCCCCCTTATACTAAGAGTCCTTAATAGGAATGATAACAGGGGGTAGTCAAATCCCTCTTAAGGACTGTTAGTATAAGAGGGAACATCCCAACCCCGAAACCCTTGGCTCCTGACTTTGCCCCTACTCAACCTCAAGGGTTTAGGGTTTAGGGTTTAGGGTTCAGGGTTCAGGGTTCAGGGTCCTCAAGCACCCCACTGCGCCACCGAGGCAGTACAGCTTGAGGCCCGCGGTCGTCGTCAAGACTGGGTCCTTGCTGGCTTTAAGTTTACATTGTTGTTATGATAAGAAGCCAATAAGGATTAACAAATGACAATTTCTAATATCATCCCCAATAAGGACCCAGAAGAGGGTTTGGGGTAA